GGCCGTGAGGGGAGGGCGCTCCGCGGCCGTCTTGCGCTGAGCGTGTTTGGCTGTGTGTTCCGGCGTCCTTCTCTTTGCAAAGAATGGTTTTGTGCGTGATGGCTGGTTTTTGCGGTGGCTGTTGGCCTCGGGACTGCGTTTTTTTCAGGTAGTTGTGTCTCCACAGCTCTGCGTTGCAGCGTGAAATCCCAGAAATCGGTGCCCTCCCCTCGGTCCAGCCCCGTGAAGTCAGTTTAAAAGCATCCCACAGCCACCTTGCCACCTGCAGATTCCCCAGATCAGTGCCAAATTTATCTGGGTTTGTAGGGCAAATATTTTTAGAGTTAAACAAGCCATAGATAAGTTGGGAATCCAAGGGCACTGAGAGTTACGTTAACTTGGAAATTAATTGTTAGGTAGTTTTCTGCTTACAGATTGCATATGGGAAGGGTTAAAACAAAATGAAGATTTGTTTGAATACATGAATACCAGCTGATGCTATTTTAACAAATTTCAGCTTTTCTTCTGGGTGTTGATCTGAGGCAGTAGCTGAACAAAAGAGGAAAGGGGCTCAGACTTTGTGTACAGAATGGTCGCTATGCCAAACCATCACGGGCACAAAGAAACATTCTGCCTTCCCTCCCGCCCTTTTTGAGAAGGACAGGAGATTTCTGGAGGGCATCGGAACATAAATATTGACAGAAACGGAGACAGTGGGTTGTGCTGAGCAAGGACCACCTAAGGAGTGTTGTATTATATATACCAGTAATGCATTTGACAAGGTAACAAACATTTTTCAGATAAATGAGCAATGAACAATAATTAATAAGTAATAAGATGTTTGCTGCTGCTTTGTCTTCTGGGGGAAAAAGGGTATAAGCAGACTGATTGTGACCTGTTGGTGTTGTTACAGAAATCAAGGATTGGTATATTTTCAACTGGTTTTTATGCTCCTGTGTACACTGCAAATAGAAGCCATATGATGGACTCGTACTGCCAGAAGTTACAGTAGGGTTCATGCCTGATAACCACTTTTCTTAACTTTATCACAGTTTTGAAATTATAAAGCATTGTAAAGCTATCCTAAGCCAGGAGAAAATCTACATAACTAAAGAGACCCATGACATATGCCCCATATTAGCATTAGTGTCTCTTCAGTTTGGCTGAAAAGTTATTGCTGAAGTTCCTGAAGGACTGGCTTCTGCCTGCCTGATTGTGTCTGCCTTCTTCAGACACTGACTGAGATGGAAGATGCCAAAAATAAATAAGGATTCTTAGTTTTCCAGATGGGTAGGAATAAGGATTACTGGGTCTGCTTTTAAAATCTTGAGTTGGGCTGCTATTTTAAGACATCAAAATGCACGGCCTCTGCTCCTTTGGTTTTCCACACCTGTTACATGCTGAGGACATTTAGTACCCATCTAGAGAAGATATCTTCTATTACATGGAAATGGTTGCTGCAGCTGTCCAAATAAATGCTGATTGCCTTAGTTTTAATAACATCTGTGATTACTGAATCTGAGGTAGGTTTAGAGACTGTCTTTCGCAATGTAAAACTTTTATATATTTTCAGAATCTTGAACAATATTACTTGCTTTTGAGGCTGTTTTTTATTACATTAGAGCAGCACCATGGAGCTTGCTCAGAGTATTCTTTTGTTCAGTCATTTTATTTTAAACCTATGATGCTTATCCAATATTTCCAGAAAGTTGTTTTTCTGGTAATTCTGTCTATATAAATATTGCATCAATATTTATATATTGCATCAGTCAAGTATACATTCACAAATAACAGAGTATTTTACTGCATACAAGAATATTCTGACTTCAGTCAAACAGGAATATGAGGTGTTTATTGCCAGAATCAAGAATGGCCAAAGGAATGTTTGGTTTTTTTTTTTTTTCATAGGAGATTAAAAGCTCTGGAATCTGAGTCCATAACTCTGGGAAAAGAGCAATAGAGCTTAAAGACAAGTAAGTTATCTCTAATAATGTCTAGAGCAAAATATGCTGTTTTAATTAGGACATGAATAGCTTAGTTTTAGCTGTCTTCTCTCATTTATATTTTTTACATGTTTCAATTCTTTATTTACATGGAAGCTGCCAATGATTGTGTAAAACTTTGCTATGTGGTGTTAGATTTCTGCTCTTCACATCTTGGTGCTGATTCTTGCGCAGTCGAACTTGAAGCGTACTCAGCAAAGGCTCTGCTTGCAGAAAAACCGGAGGCTCAGGCTCAGAAGTCAAACACGCAGATTCTCTCCTCCCATGAAAACAGTATAGCCTCAAAGTGAGGCTATTGCATTGCAAAAATGCACTGTCTGAGGTTGAGAAACATGGAAAAGTTAGTGAATCGCCCAGTTTTTCTCATTTACTCTCTATTGTTGTATAGCTACATGTATGTAGTAGGGTTCTCAAGAGGGCAAGTTACCTTGCTGTATGCAGTCTGAAGTAGAATCATATTGCAAACCGGGGGGACAGGCTTTACTGCAGAGAACAGCAGAACAGTATGACAGCAAGCCTAGTTCAACAACTGTTGGTAGTGATATCCTTGCAACCTGATGCATAAAAAGAACAAGGTAACAGTTCCTGTTTTGGGGGAGGATATTGTTGTTGTTTTCCTCTCCAGAATAAAAGCTGTTCAGAAGAATTCTGCAAAAATTAAAAATGTAATATTGGAATTTCATAATGTAAAAAAGGTACCCTCAGAAACTTTTGGCACCCCAGAGAAAACAGCTCATCCTCTTAAACCCTTCCCAGGCAAAACCAATATTCTTCTGGTTTGAGAGTTTCTTCTAGATTAAATCATTATATATATATATATATGTGTATATATATATATATAAAACCCGAAACAAACAAGAAACCCCCTAAACTAAGCCACCCAGGATAGTGCAGTGTATCAGTAAAATGCAGATCTGTGTGCTGGATGCAGAACAACAGTGACCCAGTAGAAGTAGGGGAGGTGTAGACTTGAAGAATAATATATTCAGAAGGTCTTTGCTATTGTGGAAGTTGCCTGTGAGGAGAGGTGCTACCTGTGTTAGTGTTGTCAGCCAGCTTTGCTGCCTGCAGTTGGGAGCTCATGAAAGTTGTTTTCTTCTCCCACAGGCCTGAGTGTAGAAGAATCACTCAGCTTGGATTCTCTTTCTAAACATCTCGCTCAATTAGACAGATGAGTGCTAGAAGTGAAAAAAGAAGGGGGGGCGGGGGGGAAGTGTACCCCTTGGCAGAAAAAGACTGTTAGAACAAGGACTCCTGAACTTACTGGCCTTACAAGATACAGCTGAAGCAAAAAGAAAAGCTGAAGCTCAGGTTCAAGTGCATCTCAAATATTTTTAATTTAGATGTATTCTTTATGTTGCACAGACTGTTTTTGTCTTACAGATGGAGGTTCTGTACATTAATCAATTATTAACATAGATACTGTTGATTCTAAGATGAAGATTTCTTGATTTGGGTAACTGTGCTGATCACATGCGTGTTTCCCTCTAACTATGCTAGAGTTTTGTGAGTGGTAAATGCTGTTTCTGCCTGGGCAAAACCAGATAGGATTGTCACGCTACAGGATCTCCTCTCTCAGATAATGAAAAATAAAAAGATGAGAGAGGTAAAATTTAAAAAATGAAAAGTCAGAACAATTGACAATGAGAGGATGAGACTAGACAATTGCAATGGTGGACTAAGAGTTTGGTCTTTAAGTTGGTGTCTTTTATTCCTGTCTCTGGTAACTTTTGAGAGCACTGGCAGGAAAACTCTGGTTTAATAATGCAGTAAAAGGTGTTTCCTGAACAATCATCTTCTTAAGGAGATTGTTTCCGTTCTTTAAAAATAACAGAAAATATTCTCAGTTTAAAAAAATATGTCTTCATATAAATGTATTAGTTGATAAAATTTGTTGTTGTTTGTTTTGTTGTTTGGGGTTTTTTAAATGCTTTAACACTTTTAACTCTGGTTTGTTGAGATAGTGATGTGGTTATCCTACACTGCCATGTTTTATATTTCAACTCTTGATATCCCTAGAAAAACAGCTGGAGATTCACTTGAATATTTTGAAAGGTAAAAAGAATATGGTAGTTTGAAATACCATAGTTAATACATCATATTGAACGCAGTCCTTCCAGGACATGTTCTTTTTGTGACCCTTTTGGTGTTTGTAAAAAGTGCTGGCATTGCAGCCATGCACATTAAGTCAGTTATCCATTTTCAGAGGTTATTCTCTGACCCTTTTTTTAAAGGTTCTGAAATGGAAAAGACCAGCTGTTGAAGTGCTTTTGATTTGCTTATTTCTGTGTGTTGTGAAAACTGACGAGCTAATTTTAAATATATTTCTGTGCATACAGATGAAATGGTGCAACTTGAGGGTTTTTCAGAAGTGTCCAGATGCCTGGAAGAATTTGGACATTAGGTGCTTTTGAAAATCCCAGTATTGCAACTGTCTACTTCTGGGTGCCTGGATCTCATTGCTAATGTAATCCCTTGATATTAAAAATAGGAATCAGTTCATCAACTCATCTCACATAGCCTGCTGTGTAACTGTTACACAGAAATAACTCTGGTTTCTGAGCACTGATTGATTATATTAGTACTTCCCACGTCGCGATCTACAAGACATATATTAAAAAATAGTTCATTTATCTTTCCAGATGCCCGTAGTTAACTCCCTCCTAGGTTTCTCCAGTTTTTCATTATGGACATTGTCAGAGGCACTCTAGGTAGTGAGGAAGAAGAGGTGTGAATGGTTGTGTGGAAACAAAATTGCTTCTTCATACTGGAAAATCGTGTGATAAAGACATACTAGGTTTAAATATGTGTATTTTAAAGCTGTGTATTCTCAGGGTTTGGACTTCCTGACTAGATTGCTATACCATCAGCCACCCATTTTGTATATGTGTATGTGTATGTGTATTTATTTAGTGTTTGTATAGCATATCATGTTCTGTTGGGTTTTTTTCTTCCTCTTTCCTAGTTTCAGTGAATTGCTTTCAAGTGGTCAGAATGATGCTGCAGCAACCTATGCAGTAAACTCTCCTAGGGGAATTCTCTTTAATGAAGAAGCTCTGAAGTATCTTAAATGCATGAATTTGATATTTGAGTCCGTTCTCACAGGATTTTGGTGTCAATCTAGTCACTTCAGTGCTTCAGAGTTTGGGATTTATCAAACGAGTATTGTTTGTGTAGGTTTGAAGCTTATGTTTAATATTCCATATTGAAGGCAAGAAAAGCTGTAAAGTTTTTTTTTTCTCCTTTGTTGTATTTTAAGGACACAGCCTAAGAGGCAGAAAGAGAGATAGGTAACTCACAGCCACTGCTTTTCTTACTGTTGGTGAGGTGTTGGGGTAAGCTGTGATCTTAAGGTCTAGTATAAAGCTGTTCCTAACACAGCGCTGAAGCTATTTTATTTCTACTGATAAATTTTGTGCAATAGACGAGAGCAAAGGTCTACCTGCGAGTTTGAAAGTCCAGTCCTTATTGTTATGGGTGTTAATTACTCAAGTTTAGTCTTTTGAGTCATAAAGCAATATTCTAGTTAGCTTCAATAAAATTAGTTTCTGAAATCTGAAGTGTATAAAAACTATTGATGATTTTAAATATCCCAGATAAATGCAAAGTAGTCTTTATAATTTCATCTTCCTCTCAATGTTTTTGCATATGGAAGCACAAAATTCAGTGATGAGGTCAGAGCCTGAAGCAGGTGAGTGTTTTGTCCTTCCTTTGGAAGGAGCCATAAGGGCATTGCTGAACTTTACAAAACCAGTGTGTTTTTTTTCTTTGCATATTTTATTGGCTTTTGTTTTAGTTTTAAAGGCAGTAACTGAGATAAAAACTATGATAAGCTAATATTCAGTATCTGAATTACAAAATTTAGTAGTCTTAGCAGCACATGTTATATTTTCTGTATTCTCACTTGAAAAACTGTATGTTTTAAAGACCCCACCACCCCCTAAACCCCTCAGATTTATCTATTACCTGTTGATGGTAAAATACTGTCAGAAATCCTCTGCCTTCAGTTTTGAGCAACCTTCATTTGGGGTAATTAACAAAGCATCTGATATGACTCAACCTTACAAAAGATCTAGTAAGAATTTTGCCAGAGGCATTTGGTGAGTATGAGCAAACAAAGTCTAAAATTTAAGAAGTCCTCAATATTAGTGGAAGTTACTTTTCTGGATGCTCAGCCAATTACTTTTGTTTTCATCCCTTTCGCTGTTAGCTGCTTTAAAGGAAGAAATCTCCCTTTACTGAAGTATTTTGATACTGATAAACTCAAGCACTGCAGTTGGACACCTTCCCAACTCAGCTGTAACTCTGGAAGCAATGAAATCTGCACTGCCTGAAAAGCAATTAAATCTGGTAACACATTGAGTTAATCAGCAAAGGTCTGTGGTTCTCCTGCGCTGAGATTCACGCAGGGGTATGCAATCCTCCAGCACTTCCCAAGTCATGAGGCTTTGCCTTTTCTTCGAAGTCAATTCTTTCAAACAAAACACAACCAAAAATATGTTAATGGATATCTTTTTTTTAAAAAATTCTTATATTAAATCCTAAATTCGATACGAGTGTAGACCAAACAAGCAATATCACCAGCTCCTTCTGAAGGGCACATTTTGTTTTGGCTGGTGGCAGCCTTTCTCACAGCATTGTAGACTCTAGTTTTGTTTGAGACTCTTTTCTCTTACACTGTACTTATAAACTATATGAGTATAAGATTTTCACAGCCTTCTGTGGATTAAAAAGAAATTCATACTAGGATATGAATTTCTTCCATTTTCTTGTTGATGTCAGTACCAGATGCACAGTTTCAAACATAATTACACTAAAAACATGATTAAACTGTAAAACCTATACCTGCCCTTGACCTCTGTTTTTCCATTTATGGGATAGGATACAATCGTATTTGAATTTCTAGAAATGGGTCTGTTTCTGCATTTTTTATTTGGAGAAGACATTAAGCTATCAGAGATACGTTTTGTTAATCCCATGTAGATTTGTTTGAAATGGTGAAAATCCTACTAGAAGAGTCTGGTATTAAATTAACTTAAATTTAAACTGGTATTAAATTAATAATGAGTGCCTCTCTGCTGAAAGACTCCTGTGAAGAGCAACAGCATTCGTTAACACTCGCCCATATTTTAGTTTTAAATTGGGATTCTAAACCACCTTGTGTCAGGATCAAAATATCACTTCTTTGTTTCAGTCCTAACCCTTAACCTGTCCTACTGTGGGAAAATAACGGCAGGTTGGTGAGGAGGGCTGTAAACACGCTCAAGTGACTTGCAGCTGAGGTGTAGAAAAAACACATAGAATGTTCTAGTTGTTGTTTAGTCTTGTGTGCTGGACAAGCAGAACTCTGTGTTTAGGTAACACAGGCCTGTGATAGAGACACTCTATCGGACAAGCCTGAGATTCCTGCTCTGCTGTAGGAAAGATCAAAGCACAGGAGTAACCTACCCCTGTGTGAACCCTGAAATAGAGGTGAAAGCAGCGGGTTCGGTCACTCTCTAGCGAGGACAGAGCTCCACGGTGCCTGTGTCTCTGCTTCTGTGCTGCTTCAGGGATCCCCTGGCTGGCAAGGTAATGCAAATAAATTTACTCTTTGCATTTCAGCCATAGGTTTTTGGTTTTTCCTGTGCCCTGCCTGTGCTGACTCACACACCTTCTAATGCAAAAAAACCTGTTGTGGCCTGCTGGCTCTTTTGACGTGCTGAAATCATTGTTGTTCTTGCAGTAGTAAGACCCAGCTAGTTACATCATCACACTGAAACAGTGTTTCTCAAGCCATACTTTATGACCACCTTGGGAATAATAAAATATTACTAAATGCAATGTTAGCAGACAACAGTTTATTTCCTCTAGGGTGGAAGAATGAAAAGCAGCTGTAGTTTAGAGTTTCAAGTATTACAGATGTTTACAGTAGTCAGCTTTTAATTATTTGCTGGAGAAGCGTGTTGAAAAATACTGCTACTGAAACATAATGATGCCTTGTTATTAGAGGTAAATAGGTCTCCTATTCTAAGACTATAGAGTTCTGTACTGATTTTAAAACAGTCTTTTGCAAATACTAAAACTAAATAAATCCTAAACCACTGAGATTGTAGGCAAAACTGATGGCAACACCTGTAGCAGACAGACTGCATAACAGTATGTAGTAGTCAGCAGACAGACTACAGTATAAATCCTTGTAATTGCCACACTATTTTGCTGTACTACACTATATAATGGTTGCCACACTGCTGTGCTACTGGAAGCGTGGCAAAAATCTATTTCCCATTCCTGTATCCTTAGGTAGAATTTCTTAGGAAGGTATTAAAGCCAGCTGAACTGCTTCTGAGAGTCATGCTAGAAAATAGCTTGTTTTTGTTAGCATGACAAAATTTCGTCCACTTCTCTGAATCTTCTTTGTGCTTTGGAGAAAATGTAAAGTTGAATAGGAAGCTGAATGGCTCAGGGTGTTGCCATTTTCTGTTCTTTTAATAATCCCTGGAAATCTGACTAGGCTTCTAAAACTCACTCTTTTTGACACGTTCCTATGAGTTTATTGTTGGACTGACAATCAAAATTACAAATGCTGCCGGTACTGAGCAGACCTGCTGCTTTCACAGGCTGGGCTGTGGAATGCGCAGCAATGGCTGCTCTGCTCCATTGCAGCTTGGGAACAGCACAAGGATTTCCTTATTCCTGAAACCCGCCTTGAATCTCCCATGTCCAGGAGAAATACTGTCAGGCTGCAGTTGTTCCTCCCAACTGCCCGGAGCTGGAATCATTGTGACATCCCTGAAAGAAAGGTCCCATCGCTTCCTATTGCTTTCAGTGCTCTTAGAGCCTTCTCTGCTGCTGTTGGGAGATTAAAGAAGACAAGGAAGAGGCTGCTTTCTCAAATAGAGAGAATTAAGGCTGCAAGAGGGGCAGAAGAGCTGGCAGGGGTACAGTTTAAGACTTACTCATGCAGAAATATGCCCATCTACACAGTCCACTTGTGTTGTAGCTTGTTTTGAGATATTCCAGAGTTACGGAACACATTAGTGATGCTGATTTGTTTTATTACCTGGTCTTCTTCAGGTTAACCTTTTCTGAGGCAGTAGGGGATGCTGTTCATGACTATAGGAAAGTGGAACTAAGCAATGAGTCAAAATGCCTGGCTTTGGCTCAGGTTGGATATGGTCAGCCTGGCACACTCAAAAAAGTTGCTGTGTGCCTCTGTGAACAGGGCTGAATTTCTGGAGCGATGGATTGTGTACAGCAACTGGAGCGTTTTTTCTGTAGGTAAATAATAGGGCACTTGTATTGTCTTTGAGAATTGTTCTACAGTATATTTATTTCAGGTTTAATGGTGATGGTTTTGACCACATTTGTATAGAATCATAGAATGGTTTGGGTTGGAAGGGACCTTAAAGATCATCCAGTTCCAACCTCCCCTGCCATCAGCATGGACACCTTCCACTAGACCAGGTTGCTCAAAGCCTCATCCAACCTGGCCTTGAACACTTCCAGGGAGGAGCAGCCACAGCTTCTCTGGGCAACCTGTTCCAGTGTCTCACCACCCTCACAGTGAAGAACTGAAGTGAGTACAAATAGCTGAAGTTTTGTCGTGGTGTGTACTGAGATGTCAAAAGCTCTGTTAATGTCCCCATGGATTTTATCCTAGTAAAACGTGCATGCTTTGATGAAGTAGGGAATTACTTTTGGTACACCTGCTAGAAAATCTCCACAACATTTTGGCAAGGACCTCAGTAGGAGGCTGTGGGGGTTCTCATAGCCTACAGTTCCAAAACCAAGGTTAAGTTGGCCCTTTCTGGTGGATTGCAAGTTCATTAATCAAATAATTAAAGGAAAGAAGGGTGCCTTGTGTTCTTTCTTAGCTTCCTTTCTACGTAGCTGCCTTCTGGCAGCATCCTTTTTTTTTCTTCTTGTATTCTTGCTTAGACTGTTTTTGCTCGGTTAAGTTACAATTTTTAAGAATTATTTTATTTCCTGGCCATATTTCAGATAATTTTAAGGGAGGATTTTCAGGTTATCAACTCTCCTGGTTTTGTTGATTTTTCTCATTCTATGAGATTTCTAAAATAATTACAGGGAAAAAAAATTATTTTTTAAAATTTTTTTTCCCAAGTAAAAGGTTAGATTTTAATGTCACCGCTCACTTTTCCACAGTGTTTGGGGAAATCAGTCAAGATCATTGTGAGTTTTTATGGTGAGGGAAGGGAGAGGTGACCATATGCAAATACATAATAATCATGATATTTGATTTTTCAAATGGTTTCTTCTTTCTGTTGGAAAACTGTCCTAGCACTGCATTAATTCACTGTCTCAGTCAACAGTGGATTAGAAAACCACTGTTTTCATTCCTGGGGGCTGCAATCCTCTCTCTTCTCTCAGCTGATCACCAAGAGCATGGTTTTGGAAGAAAAGAGCAAGAAAAGTAAGCACAGCAAAATTTTAATAATAAACTTTCAAACTTGAAATTTTAATTCAACTCCCACTTCAGCCTGTAAATGACTTTGGATTCAGTGCTCCTAGTTAATAACGTGATCTGAATAAAACCTTTTCCTTCATGATGAGCTGAACTCTGCATTCTCACACCTTCTGGAGGCCCCGCATCCTGCTTGCACTCACACGCAGGATCAGTCACCCCCTGGGGCAACCCTGCCACTGACATAACTCTGAAGGCATTTCACTGGATTCTAGCAGAGCCTCTATAATTTGTTTCTTGGGCAACCTGCAACTTCAGCCCTTACTGCTTAGGACACACCAAAAAAAACCAAAAAAACAAGTCCTACTTTGTTGTAAAGTTTGTAAGTTTTCAGAGGGACTTTTTTTCCCACTGCCAGACACGGTTGCAGAAGCTCTTCAGGCAGCGTGAACTCCAGCCAGGGGCAGACAGCTGCCACAAACCCCATGGACAGCAAGTGCCAGGTCCTGAAACTGCTCTGCAGACAAACTAATAGTTTTCTGCCTAGCCTTAGCCAGGAAAAGTACTTAAATTTAAAGATAATATATCTGAAAATTAGGTTTTGTGCCTCCATGGATGCTTATTTGTATCTATTATGCTTATTGTGTTTTGCTGCAATAAACTGCCCTGCAGTGCCTGCAACTCCCCTGTCATTCTATTGCTCTTACGCGTTTCAGAAGTGATTTTGAGTTTCATTAGTGATTTTGACCTTTAAGCTTTTTTAAAATTAAAATAAACACTGTTTTTCTTATGGGTCTTTCATTTGATCAGCTTTCTTTTTTTTTAAACTCAGTCTTAGGATTTATGATCCATCTATAAAAACAGTGAATGATTTGTTCAGTACGTTTAATATGGATAGTACAAAGCTTATTAGGCCAAGTGCAGGTCTTTGTATGCAGTTGGTGTTTTCTTAGATGCATTGGAACAGATTATTTGAAGTGATACTGTTTGCACTTCGGGAGGCTGGAATAAGATAGCAGATGCGTGTGCAGAAAATAAGCATGAAAAGTTATCTCGGAAAATCACATCGATTCTCACCTCACAGGATGGAGTGTTTAAAAATTCACCACTTGAAGATTAAAAAGATGCAAGGGTCAGTGTCCTCTCCAGCCGAGGAGGGAAAGATGTCCCTGCTCACTGCAGGGCGGCTGGACTAGGTGGCCTTTAAAGGTCCCTTCCAACCCAAACCATTCTGTGATTCTGTGATAATGGAACATGTTTTCTGGGAGTTTTTCTGTGTAACAACAGAGGGAGCTCTTAGAGCAGTCAAGCAATTAGAAAGCGCAATTAGAAGTTAAATTGGCCGCT